CAACGGACTGAGGACCACCCATGCTTCTCCTCAAGTACTTCTGTTGCAGCCGCAATATTGACACCATTGTCATGCACAATAGCAATAATTTTGCTAAGGGGAATTTCAAACCTGGCTACTACCTCCTCCAACCATTCTGCATTGTTGGATGCTGTATGTTTTTCCTCCAGTGGCATGGTCGTAAGGCAGATTGACTTCATGTTCCAGTCGTCTCCAGTGTAATATCATGTAATGCCAAGCCATGCTTCCGTGGCTACGCTTGTCCAAACATCAGTGGTGAGAACAATTTTGCTCTGGGTGGCTTTTATGTCACTCTTCACTGCTTGGAATGTCTGCTTGTACTTCTTCTCCATCAGTTTGGTAAAATGGGTCCTCGAGGGAAGAGCGTAAGCACGGTTGAGGATGTGAATCATTTGTCTGAATCCTTCATCCTCCACCATTGATAGTGGCCTCATGTCAGTTACCAGCATATTCAGGATACCATCAGTTAGTGCAGCCGCTTGCTGTGGTGTGCAGACCTTCCTCAGAGCCAAGTCACTAATGTTGGCTTGTTTCTTTCTGAAATGAAAGAAACCATATAATGAGTGTACATAGTAGCACCGTTTACATGTAACTCAATACATACCTTGTTGACTGACTTAATAATTGAATAACTGATGTAAAAGGCAAGTAAAGACAATACAGCATGCACTAAGAATAAAATGGAAATTTAACTAATATATATTTGATCAGATATTGCTCAAGTTTCTGTTGTGAAGAAATAAAGGATTCACTTTAGACTGCCTCTGAATAATAGCATGAAATATTCCAGCAACTCCATAACGTTAGTTATACTCAAGTGTATCTCCAACCTAAATAGCTTTATATAGCTTTATTGGGGGCCAGGCTAACGTACATTAATCCATTACGAAACAGATGGGAGATATTTCTGTCCATTATGTTTGTTTCGAAATTAGCAACTGTGTGTTTTCTCCATCAAAACGGACTCAAATCTGCCGGAGACCGACACATTATCAGCCCTGAGTTGCAACAAAGGGATACTCAAACAAAAGAACTGGCGTGCTGAACTCATTAATGGTTATTACGACCCAAAATAGCACAACAAATGAAGTTGTCACAAAAATTAATGTACAGCAGCTACTGTTGTGCTTCATTTAACAAACCGAGATTAAAAACAGACACGGGCATACACAGTGGATCAATGTACCCGGGCTAGGGCTTTATAAAGTTACGTACCTTGAGTCCCCTTCACCCATGGCTCCAACATGCGTCCTCTTCAGGTGCAGTGACTGCTCGGCATGTATTTTTCACGGACATTTTTACAGGAAACTACAACGCGGAAGTGCGCTCAACTATGAAAGCCCGAATGACTGCGGACTTTCCTCGCGGAGTCTGTTCCACATACGTTCTGCCCGAGTATGTTCAGGCCTTAAAAGAGAGTCCTGCAATGAACGCAGTAAAACGTGTCAATATCGATGAAGCATTTCAGAGATGGGATGAATGTTGCTAATAGTTTAGCTTTCTGCTAACCAAAGCCACAGCCACAGCTTTAAGTCAATGTATGGGGATCACTGATTAATGTATGAAGCACTTGCATATGTACATGGTCATCTGGTAGGAGGGGCTTAGGACAGAGAGGGGAGACCTGCAGGAGGAGGGTGCATTTTCAAATTCTGAATGTTTTTTTTCTGCCTTTTCCAGATATTAGATTAACCTTACCTGTCAAGTGTCAGTGTCTTGTTGGTTTCGAGTTCACAAACGGACCTTATGTCTGCTGCTCGTACATGAATTCATTAGGGCGTTTACCTTTCTAATTGCAAATTGCCTGGCACATGCATCCAAATTAGGATCAAATGCAATTTCAACATACTCAGATGGGTAAGAGCTAAGGCTGCCAATCTTCCCCCAAAATCAGATTCGAATTTTCAGTGTTTTTTATGTTAAAAATTTGAATAATATTTGAATTTTTCCTTGGTATAGGCTATAGCCTAGGCCTACCACTGCATTTTTATATTTTTTGTGTTATAATGACATTATTTTAATATTTTGCATCACATGCAAAAGTGAGCGTCTCTGGCTGCGCAGCTGTGTCGGTGCTGACAAGCCGGAGACGTGTTGCTCCTCCTCACTTCAAGTCGCTGTCATTAACTTTTAACCTGCAAAGGCGGCAGTGCTGCAACATTGTAGGAATTTATGAAAGCCCTTGTGAACATTTCAATAGTTACACATTAAAACAATATTTATTTGCAGTTACTCTATTGAACGACCCCGAAGCATGAGCAAACAGGCTGTGTCACTTCGGATCAAAGAGATGCGCCCTGTCACTGTCAGCGCAGGGTTGACAGGGCACCCTCTGCTGAGAAGTGAGGAGAGGAGATGGATTGTTGGTCTGTTTGTAAACGGGGCTTCTCTGACAGTCACATATTTCCCCCAAAAAAAACATCTCTTAAAGGGATAGTGTACCCAAAAATGAAAATTCAGCCATTATCTACTCACCCATATGCCGACGGAGGCCCTGGTGGAGTTTTAGAGTCCTCACATCCCTTGCGGAGATCAGCGGGGGCAGCGGCTAGCACACTTAATGGCAGACGGTGCCCCAGACTAACGTCCAAGAACACAAAATTGAATCCACAAAGTATCTCCATACTGCTCATCCGTAGTGATCCAAGTGTGCTGCAGCCCCGACATAAAAAGTTGTTTTGAAAAATGTCATATGAACTCTGTTTTTAGCCTCACTGTAGCCTGTAGCTCTGACTGCTTCTCTGTGCTCCACGTTCACGTGTGCACGCTCAGGGTGATCGGTGATCCATGGTCTCTGAAGAGCAGCAGTCTCGTCAGTACTGATGTCCAGATTCTCAAGTGCAGGCATCGCCAATTCCCAGTCTGAGCAGCAAAGACTTTCCTCATCCATTGGCATTGCTTTGCATTTGAAACAACTACACCACCATTTTAGCCTCACTGCTCACGCACGACCAGCAAAAGCATGAGCTTTGCTCACCCGTGTTTACATCATGTGACATGTGCACTGCACGGGGAGACAGCAGTAACCACAGAGCTAAAAGATAATTTGCACTACGGTTTTTTAGCAATGGCCAGCCCAACATGTCTGAAGACTTTGAAATTGAGGAGGAACAGCATTTCTTTGTTGAGCCGTATTTGTTTGAGCCCGAGTATACGGACGGAACTCAGGCTACTGGACGAAGCAGCCGCCGCAGCTCATGAGCCTAACCCTCAGCCAGCCGCAGAATACCGGAGTCGAGCACTGGAAACCTGGTGGTGTAGTTGTTTCAAATGCAAAGCAATGCCAACGGATGAGGAAAGTCTTTGCTGCTCAGACTGGGAATTGGCGATGCCTGCACTTGAGAATCTGGACATCAGTACTGACGAGACTGCTGTTCTTTAGAGACCATGGATCACCAATCACCCTGAGCGCGCGCACACGTGAACGTGGAGCACAGAGAAGCAGTTAGAGCTACAGGCTACAGTGAGGCTAAAAACAGAGTTCATATGACGTTTTTCGAAACAACTTTTTATGTCGGGGCTACAGCACACTTGGATCACTACGGATGAGCAGTATGGAGATACTTTGTGGATTCAATTTTGTGTTCTTGGACGTTAGTCTGGGGCACCGTCTACCATTAGGTATGCTAGCCGCTGCCCCCGCCGATCTCCGCAAGGGATGTGAGGACTCTAAAACTTCACCAGGGCCTCCATCGGCATATGGGTGAGTAGATAATGGCTGAATTTTCATTTTTGGGTGCACTATCCCTTTAATGCACGGTAGAGTGCCGTTTTGTTTTTGTTTTTGTTTTTGTTTTTTTTTTGTTTTGTTTTTTTTTTTCAAAATATTCGAACCTTAGTTTCCAACTTCAAATATTATAAGCTGCAATATAATATAATAATTTTTTTACAATAATTCGAATTGTTTTCGAATAGCGAAGTTCGTTCTGACAGCCCTAGTAAGAGCAGACTTCATGAATCCCACGTAGGATTATCTCATTACAAGACTTTTCCATTGACAGCATGGCCGCACTGAATCAAACTATGCCACATCGTTTTGAGTTTCCTTTGTCAGTTTACCATGCTGAGCTGCACTGTGCCCGAGATGGACCATCTCTGGAGTCGGGCCAGAAGCACACCCAGCAGCTCCAAACAGGTAGCTGTGACATCTTTCTGACCACAGCCATTGCCCTGCTGTATGATGGAAAAACACTTGCAAAATAAAGCGGGACTTAAGCTATGGATCAGCCTGATGCTTTTAAATGTCATCACTCAAGACAAGCCCGTTACCAGTTTAAGACACACCTTCAAGCTGGTAGCCCTGTTGTAATGGGGACCCAAATTCCTGCCATGCTGGGCTGAATATAAGAGAAAAATAAAACATTTATGCATGAGGTCCAGTATTCAGAACTAGATACAAACATTTCTTGAAATATAAATAAGATACATTAAATGCAGTTTTTATTAATTATTTGCTATAATTTTGTTGCTTATTAGCTAAACCTGAAAAAGTTGCCATTACAAAATGGATGGCTGCTGAAGCAGAGAATTCACCTTGTGTTTTGTAAAATGGAGCACTTGGGAGAGCCTTTTCTTTTCGTTTCTTTTTTTAACAGCAAAAATTGAGTAAAATTAAAGAAAATGTCAGTACTTAGTTTTTTGATGATGACTTTTAAGTTAGTCTGCATTTTGGGTGTAACTCCCTCCATTCCACCATGTAATCTAATCAGTGCTTGATGTCAGTTCACTTCTGATGTTTTACCTCTGTTGTGTCCTGCTTTGTAACAATTGTATAGTTCTAATAGTTTTCAATAAAACATACTTAGAGTGCAGGTGCTTTTCATAGCACTGATGCATACTTCTTCTCTCTCATCTTCTACCTGAATGTTTGTCTTCCATATAAATGCCTAGGATGTAAAAGGATGTTCATACAATGTTGCCAAATTTATAGTTTTAAATGTTTATTTGGATTTGACATGTGTATATGTGTACCTGCACAGATGCTGATGGTGAAGGCAATTGGAACAATTCACAAGGTGTGTGTGTGTTTATACTAGGATGGCTGATACAGGAGGTATTTTAAAAAAATATTTGAAAGCTATTTTCCAAAATCACTGCAAAAAAATCTCCATTATGTCACGTATTAGATTAGCAAAATAGAGCCTGCAGACTTTTTTTTTTTTAACATTTAAGATGTCAGGCCCTTTTGTTGCATGTCAGTCACAACCTTATCCCATAGTACATTGTAGGTAAGGTACTTTTTTGATACTTTAAGCAAGGAGGCTGTTTGATAGGCAACTTTTATCATTTTAGATCCCAATGCCAATCCCAACAAACGCCAGAGGCAGCCTGCTCTTCTGGGAGACCACCCACCGGATTATGGTAGCTATCCAATAAAGAAATTGCTCTGACATTTAGAAGAATTGAACACATTCCAATACTATATCTGTACCACATATGTTTTTTCTCTATTTAAGGTGGCCCTCAAGGAGGTTATCATGGCTACAATGACGACAGCTACGGCCCCCCTCCTCCGCACCGCATGGGGCCTGGTATGGGCGGGCGTGGTCGTGGTAGCCAACGCTATGGCCCTGGTTATGGACCACCACCCCCCGAGTACGGTCCTCATGCTGACTCCCCAGTTCTTATGGTTTATGGCCTTGAGCCCTCTAAGATCAACGCCGACAAGGTCTTCAACATTTTCTGCCTTTATGGCAATGTAGAGAGGGTGAGTGAAATGATGCTAACAGAAAAAAGTCAAATTTAATACATTAGTTTTTATTGATGATGATTAATGAAGTTGAAATAACAAATCATACTGCTCATTGAAGTGATAAGCAAAGGTAGTGTAAGCTAGTGCTTACAACAGTTCACCAGGAACAAATGTTTCCTGTTGAACTGCAACAATTAGTTGGTTGACAGAAAAATAATCTGCAACTTTTTGGATGATTGATTAATCCTTCAAGTCAGTTTTAAAGCAAAAATGTAAAATATTAGTAAATGATAAGCAAATTGAATATCTTTAGACCTCAGTATTAGCCTGTTAGATAAAAGAGGCAAATTTAAGACATCACTGTGGCCTCTGAGGAGTTGGGAAAGCCCTTTTATACCTCCACACTGGCAATAGACGTGGCTGGAGGCATTATTTTTTTCACGTCTTCCGTCCATCCCATTCTGGTGAATGCGATATTTCAAGAATTACCTGAGGGAATTTTCTCAAATTCAGCACAAACTTTCACTTGGACTCAACAATGAACTGATTAGATTTTGTTGGTCAAAGGTCAAGGCTACTCTGACCTTGTGTCCATCCCATTCTCAAGAGCGTATTATCTCAACGCCTGGAGCGAATTTTATCACATTTGGCACAAACATCCACTTGAACTCAGGAATGAACACATGAGAATTGTGTGGTTGAAAGTCAAAGGCTTAGGTCAGTGTGACCTCTCCAAACATGTTTTAGGCCAAAACTCAAGAATTCATTTGCTAAATAAGACAAAATTTACACAAATGTCTGATAGGATAAAACAATGAGGTGATGATATTTTATATCCAAAATGTCAAAGGTCACCTTGACTGTGGCATCATTATGTTCTGCAAAAACACTTCTCTGGCCATTATTCAATATCATATCTCAGGAACAGATGGGGAGACATTTGGTCAGATACTGAATTGGTGACACTAATTTTGGGTGCCCACCTTGAAACTGTGCTGATTGTATAGATCTTCTGTGCTGCAGGGGGAAGATGTGTGTGAAGCATCCATGTTTTAGAATGTGAAGCTTCTTTGCAGCTATGGCAAGCCTGTAATGGCGACAATGTTGCGTTTCTGTCCTGTTCCTCAGGCAGTCCACCACCTGCTCATTGGTTTTGCTGATATTAAGCTTTGTTGCACCATGTGAAGAAGCTCGCTATCAATCTTCTGTACTCCCCTGTAGAGATAGACTCTAAGTCAAGACAGCATGTTTTTTAAACGGGAATTATACATGTCAATATGATGATAACTTCTGTTTGCCAAAAAATACACTGAATACTTTTTTTTCCCAATTCCTTCAGTCTTTACTACATGTGAGTCTGGACAGTCATAGCTTTAAACTGCAACTTGACTGGTTGGTGGAAGGTGATCCAAGTTTTCACTATTTGTAACATGTCATGGACTAATTCATTAATGAATCAAACTAACTGACAGATGAATTGGTAATGACATTAAAGGGATAGTGCACCCAAAAATGAAAATTCAGCCATTATCTACTCACCCATATGCCGATGGAGGCCCTGGTGAAGTTTTAGAGTCCTCACATCCCTTGCGGAGATCGACGGGGGGAATGGGCAGCACACCTAATGTCCAAGAACACAAAATTGAATCCACAAAGTATCTCCATACTGCTCATCCGTAGTGATCCAAGTGTGCTGCAGCCGCGACATAAAAAGTTGTTTCGAAAAACGTCATATGAACTCTGTTTTTAGCCTCACTGTAGCCTGTAGCTCTGACTGCTTCTTTGTGCTCCGCATTCACGTGTGCGCGAGACCAGCGAAAGCATGAGCTTTGCTCATCCGTGTTTACATCACGTGACACGTGCACCGTCTGCCATTAGGTGTGCTATCCGCTCCGCCCGCCGATCTCCGCAAGGGATGTGAGTACTCTAAAACTTCACCAGGGCCTCCCTCGGCGTATAGTTGAGTAGATAATGGCTGAATTTTCATTTTTGGGTGCACTATCCCTTTAATGTTGATTTACAGCAATAGTTTCATGCACTCGTTTCTGTGAGTCAACTGGATATTTTCTTTCTTCAGATTAAGTTCATGAAGAGTAAGCCTGGAGCAGCTATGGTGGAGATGGGAGACTGTTATTCTGTGGACAGGGCCATCACTCACCTCAACAATAATTTCCTGTTTGGACAGAAACTCAATGTTTGGTAAGAGCAGTTCAAACCATTACAAAACATTAGCATAGACTATTAAAGAAAGATTCAGAGTGCAGAGCTAGATATAGAGATGTAAGACCTCTGGCCCTCTTTCCTTGGCAGTGTGTCCAAGCAGCAGGCTATTGTGCCAGGACAGTGCTATCAGTTAGAGGATAATACTAGCAGCTTCAAAGATTTCCACGGATCCCGAAACAACCGCTTCACCTCCCCAGAGCAGGCAGCCAAGAACCGTATTCAGCATCCCAGCAATGTCCTACACTTCTTTAATGCACAGCCTGACATCTCCGTAGAGATCTTCAATCAGGTAAGAAAAGCCACCAGCATTCTGTAAAGTAGCGTTTCCACACATCACCACCTCACACCTTCACTTTAATTCCAGGTCTGTGATGAACTGGGAATTAAGAGCCCCACAAGTGTGAAACTTTTCACTGGAAAGAGTAAGTAATACAAGTTTCAGCCTGGGTACAGGGTACTGTTAGAGTGTAGCAAACCCCACCTCTTCCTCTAAATGCTAATGCTAAACTTGAGTTAAAATTACATTACATACAGCACATCCCAGCAGGTTTGGGACATTGCTGTTTTAGCTGTGCTGCAGCTGTTAGGTAACTTCTTCAGGGACGTTAGTGAGCGATCTTGAAAACTATGTACATTAGTATTTAGGTCGATGTATGAACACACAGTTGAGTGTTATCTATTATGGTTATCTAACCAATCTTCTTGTGTGGAACAAAAGGTGAGCGAAGTTCGTCTGGCCTTCTGGAGTGGGAATCCATCAACGATGCCATGGAAGCCCTAGCTCTGATGAACCATTACCAGATGAAAAACCCTAGTAAGTTCTCACCTTGTTACACTAAAGTACCAACATGTTTTTAACTGCCGGCTGTGGGAGTTTAGAATATGTTGGACGTTTTTTAAGCCTTCATATTGTCTTTACCATCTTGAAAATGTATGAATTATCTTTTTCTGTCTTTGCTCTTCTAGGCGGACCTTACCCGTACACACTGAAGCTGTGTTTCTCAACCACACACCATGCCAACTAAATACTCTCCACTCAACCCATTTTTAATGTTTTGTTTCTCCTCATAGAGTATACTGCAGTTCTGTTGTCATGTCCCATTAAAATGTTCAATCAGTATTGACTACAATTAAGACTAACATGCTGTAGGACATGTTACTTTAACTATGATTTATTATACCTTAACTATGTTTTTCAATCAGTTGTTAATTTTGTACTTTCACAACACTAGATTTGAATAACCCCTCACTACCCTAAAATAACAGTTCAGTGTGAACCTCAGTTTTTGTTTTTTAAATCAAGTAAACAGTAACCATAGTGTGAACACTGCTATAACCAGTGGTCACATGGTCAGATGGTTTGTATTATATCTTTCATCATTTCTCCACTCTCTTTACAGGGAAGCATACATACATTGATTCACAGGTTCTTGCAAAGAGAAGCAGCTGTAGTTTTCTGGATGTAAAAAGTCACACTGACATCTCTGTACTGAAATGGTTAGGGTGCCTTCCATATGTTGATACCTGGACTACAGAACACTATCACTGTAAAGATGAAAGGATGGAAGACAAGAAGGAGATGGTTATCTGCTAGAGGAGTGCTCATTCACTGTCAAGATTTCGATGTCAAGTTGTCACTTTTTTAGTAAATAATACTGTGAAAATTACCTTGGCTGGAATTACTCACTTAACTAAAATCTCTTTGTGTCAGTTTCCACATTATATGCATGAGGTAAATTGGATTGGGCCACCACATATACATCGGTTATGAAGCGTAATCTGTAGTGATTACATTTACTCAGACCTACACAGCATTATTTTTAGTATTACAGTTTGTATTCATAACCACTGGATAAAGTAGGGATGCATGATATTGGATTTTTTGCCGATATCTAATATGTAACAACTCATTTGACCGATAACCGATACAGACATATCCACATCCACTTTTTTCCCCACCTAAATTAAGTGACCATCAAGTCTCTTCTATAATGGAATTAACATCATATTATGCTTGCATACTCTTATCATGATGGCCCACCAGCAGATGGAGACATGAAATGCAATCTTTTCAGTTTCATTTTATTTTGTAATGTTCATTCATAGTGCAAATGAGAAAAAGAACGTTTGCCAATTCTGGTTGTTAATTTTAAAGCTGATACTGGCCGATATCAATGACGTACAGATATTTTCAGCATTTTGGCCGATTCCAGTATTTCGTTTTAAAGACAATACCAGGCGATACTGATGTTGTGCCAATACTATCATGAATCCCTAAGATAAAGTAGTTTTAAAAAATTAGTAATTGCCCTAAATTGACCTTTGTAATTATATATTTAGCCGCACATCCAAAATACATCACTGGAGACTTTTTAAAAAATCATTTATTGTTCAAATAACCTTGGCCCACACGTTGCTATTGTTCTGATTATTTGTTGGCTGCATGCATACATTTGTGGTGTCCTTTAAATTAATCTAACAGTTTACTCAAAAATTAGCTGTATGGTGCAGACAAAATGATCGTAGGCCTAAAACAATTTGTAAAAGACCCTGAGGGATCATTCTTTCACCTTAACACAAGTAGTTTGACATAAAAATAAAATAAAATAACATCTGAACTCCAGGTAGTAGATGAGCCTTTAGCTGCATCAAGTGGCCTTCATCAGCAGATGATCTGTCTGCTGATGAAGGCCATGAGATGCACCTAAAAGCATCAGAAGGGTCTATTAAGTGGCCTTTTTTGTTTGGTTGTTACAGCCATGGTCTTATGTGGTCATATTCTAAACCCCAAATTCATTTTTATTGGGTGTCATCTTTTCTTTTGGACTTAAAAGTGGACATTCCATCAAGACCAGGACGGACAGACGTGCAATGGATGTACAGAACAGATCAACATAATAAATTTACAGTAATCTATATGACAAAATGATACATTAAGAGAGGGAGGGACAGACAGTAATGATAATAGCTTACAACAACATTCATTTCTGTAATAATATTATAATAACCGTAATTGTGGTAGCTTATGTTGTTCGTAAAATATTAACATATGATGTGCATGTGACAATAATAGATGGAAAACCATCTTCCTACTATCGTTACCTTATAATTTTGACGAAGCTAAGCACCCAGTGTGATAAAGTAACCACGGTAAGCTGACATAAAGTGTTATAAAAAATCACAACCGTTACAGAAACCGTGGTTATTTGCATTACAACACCTATTTTTTTTTGTTCTCTACTATTAGAAAGAAGAAAAAGGGTAGCGTCGGAAAAAACTACACCTCCCATAGTGCCTTGAGCCTAAGTCGCGTAGGTGTTTCCGGTGTCTTGTAACATTTTACTTCCTTTCGCACAGACCGACACGAAGAAATCGAGAAAGAATACGTCTCTAACTTTTAAATGTTGTCGTCAACAGTCGCATTTTGAGCTGATTTTTCTCGTGGTTTTCATCGTTAAACGCGCGGAATGTGGCGAGTGGTGTCCGAGAATTGAAGTATAGTTGAAAACCGTAGATCTGAACGTGTAGGCCTTCGAAGAAAGTTTGGTCGAGGGCCTGTAAACAACATGTCCTCCGCCTCGCAGTCTTCCTCTAGACGGCAATGGTGCTACCTTTGCGATCTGCCCAAGATGCCCTGGGCCATGCTGTGGGAGTTCAGCGAGGCTGTGTGCCGCGGATGTGTCAACTATGATGGGGCTGACAGAATAGAACTGCTCATTGAAACTGCCAGGCAACTGAAGAGCACGCACGGAGTTTTAGACGGCAGGTCCCCCGGTCCACAGCAGGGCAAACCCAGCTCGGCTGGGCCCCTGGAAGCAGGGCGGCAGCATGGAGAGCGTATAGAAAGGGGGAGGGGTGAGTATGGGGTGTCTTCTCGACTTCCCAATGGCCTGCACAGAGCTGAAGATGTGGCCTTGTCAGAGGGCAGCAGACAGAGCCCAAATACCCGTCGGGCGATAGTTGGGGCAGTTCCTAGTCTTCATGGCACCATATCCCATGCCTTGATAGCTCAGGGATTAGTAGCAGCCCCTCATGGGCTCTTGACCCCCTTATCAGGCTCCAGAGGTGGGGCCACACCAATTGCAGTCTCTGCTGGCCCTATAATGGGTGAAGCTGGCAGAAGACAGGCTGTGTCCCTGGGTGTGGGAGCCAGCACCTCAGCTCTGGTGGGTATAGATCCTGCAGTGTGGAGGAACAATGAAGTGATGGCAGAACTGAGTGAGGTGTCTCGTAGCAGGGGTGAGGGCTGGCCAAACCGTCCCAAAGCTGTTCGGGATGTGCTTGTAGCTCTTAGCAGCTGCATCCCCTTTAATGTGCGCTTCAGGAAAGACCATAACCTGATGGGTCGCGTTGTGGCCTTTGATGCCAGTACAACTCCAGAGTTTGAGCTGAAGGTGTTTGCGGAGTATCCTCCTGGCTCTGGAATGATCTTCTCAGGAGTCCCAGACCTGGTCAGGCAGATGTTCCGTGATTCTGCCAAAGATGCAGGTAAAGCGGTGAACTCTGGGCTACGCTATGTGGAATATGAAAAGCGGCAGGGCACAGGAGACTGGCGTGGCCTGTCTGAGCTGTTGAATGACGGTGTGCGCATGTTTAAAGAGCCCCCAATTCCAGAGGTTCTGCCACAGCCAGATGCAGGGTTGCCCATGGTAGCTGTTGGACGCCCTGTACCAGCAAAGAGCACAACTCGGCGCCGCAAGGCATCTCCAGGCTCTGAGAATGGAGAGAGCGAAGGAAGGTCTGATCACCCGGTGAGAGAGCCCTGGCCCCGAGGTGCATACTCAGGCATGGAGCCTCTTCCTGGCATGGCTGCTCCTCAAGAGGGCCCACCCCGTTTACATAGCCAGCCCTCACCCATCTCAGCGCTCATGGGAGTTGCAGACAGCCTGAGCTCCAGCCAGATGGCCAGAGATAGCCCCAGCATGTCCACAGCGCACTCCTCCTCAGCCGGGCACCCCACCAGCAGCAGCCCCTCCACTGCCTCCACCTCAGTCTCTCAAGCAGCCATGGGGCAGGGTTTAAGTGTGGCGGGGCAGAGCAGCAACACCAGTGCAGGGGAGTCTACGAGCAGTACCCAGGGCACTCCGCTTTGCTGCACCCTCTGCCGAGAGCGCTTGGAAGACACTCATTTCGTCCAGTGTCCCTCTGTCACGCACCACAAGTTCTGTTTCCCTTGTACCAGAGGATTCATCCGCAGCCAAGGTCAAGGTGGGGAGGTGTACTGCCCCAGTGGAGAACGCTGTCCCCTGGCTGGATCCTCTGTGCCTTGGGCCTTCATGCAGGGAGAGATCTCAACCATTCTGGCTGGAGACGGAGATGTGACAGTAAAAAAGGAGAGTGACCCTTGACGTCTCCATCCTGTTGTGGTGAATGGTAAGATGATGGGTAAACAGTCTTTTTGTACTTCATGATCAAGCATCTTTCTTTTACCAACATAGTTTTCTAGAGCGAGATTGTTAGGGTTCTCTAATCAGCCTTAACATTAACAGTTATTAAACAGAATTAATCAAAACTAACCTGAAGTCCCTAGTGAGATGGATTTTAAGAAAATTAGAGTTGCAGTTGAGAAACACAGTGACAGTGTTTTTCAGGTTTTTGATACAGTTTTATGTTTTTAGCTGCGACTCTGCTTGGCTTAAACTGACAGTAGTAGAACTGATTTGTAAATCAGGTCTTAAGTTTTCAGGCGATTTTTATTCCTCACGCTCTCTTATATCAGCATTAATAATTTAAAGGATGTTATCTCCAAATGAGATAACACAAAGGTGAAGAAAGCCTTGACTCCTAATCAGTCTTTTGGATATGGAGATTGATGAGTCTCTTATTGTGTGAAAAGATCAACAATTAGTTTGTTAAAGTGTAACCTGTAAATATAAAACAAATATAAATTAGTAAATATAAAACAGTGTCCACAAATACAGAATAAAATTTGTAAACCTCAAAAAATGATTTTGCTAATATAAAACACAGCTTCAAAAACACACATATGGAGATCGATTAGTCTTTATATTATCTGCATGAGCAGATCGACAGTCTGTGGAAATGTGTAATCTGTAAATCTAAAACACTAAAAAAAGTGTTCTAAAGTAAAAAATATTTAGAAAATATAAAACATCTTTACATATACAAACAAATTCAAACCATTAAAGAAAAAGACTGCATAAAATGCAAATCTGCAAGCGTAGAATTGAGATTCACAAATATGTGTTTGAAATGTTTTAATGTTAGGATGATATTCACAAATGTTTTTCAGTTATCTATAAATCAAGAACATGTATTCACAGATTTTTTTTTATTTGTGGAATTTGTTTATTTGCAGGTCTGCTTAATATTTGCAAAACAATTTCTTATTTTATAGATTTTTTTTTGTATTTGTGGATGTGTTTTATATTTAAAGATTACACATTAACACACAGGTTGACAATCTGTTCACACAGATAATTTTGACACATCTATCTCCATATTAGTATTATACAAACTACACTGTGTCCTGCACAGGCTCCTGTAGGCTAAATGTGTCCTGGTGGCAGCACACTGTTGGATAAAAGAGTCTCAATGTCATATATGATTAATTGTTTAAGCTTTTTGTATTTTGTGCTAATTGAAGTTCTTCAGCATATACACACTGGAAATGCAACTCGCATGAAAGAAATGCTTTCCCCACCTTACCCTTGTGTCTGCAGTGCAGAGTAAAACAGACTACAGTGGAACACTGCATTGATGTCTCACATATGAACAGAATACTGTCATTTCTCCTGTGCAGTGTGTAAATCTGCTATCAACACATTACACTATGTTACTTTCTATATGAGAGAATCCATGGGTTGTTCATGACCGGCCCTGTCAGTATGCAGACATAAAACAAGGGTGTAGTCATGGTGTCAAGACAGACCTCAGTACTGTGATGTTTATGTAGAGGTCAGACTGAGGCAGGGAAGCTGTCCAGTTGCTTTGAAAATGAAAACAAATAATACAAAATGTCACAGGGTAAAAGAAACAAAACCGTTTCATTGTCACCATCTTCCAGCTCTCTCCCACTGTTCATCCTGTGTATCCGCCTCACATGTTCTCAACTTTGAACTCTCTGCTTCCTACAGTGTCCTCAACTAACCACTGGACTTCATGTCCCTGATACACTGTACACTTCCCTGATATTAGACCTTTGGTTTCTGCAGGGTTCACCGAAGTCAGTGCAAGACTTTTAGGAATTTATCAACAATTACGTCACATTTTTGTAATTCCCAGCTGTGTATAACACTCATTTTTAGTAATATATAAGTAATCAATTAACGTGACCTGGACACAAATGAGTGGCAGATTTTTATTTTTATTTATTTATTTTGCTAAAATGTATCCCATTTACGTGGATGAGCTTCCTTGCTACTGTGGCTAGCAGCAGTGTTTGCAGCAGGTCTGATTGGGGTTGCAGCAGTATGAGTTTTTCGTGGTATGATAGCCATCTCAGAAAATATTGTGGTTTTATGGTATCATGGTATTACAGAATTATTATCAGGTAAAATGATCCGCTAAAGAATGAAAATAGGGATTATTGTTGGTTGAACAAACATTTTATTACAGTAATTTAAGGTTGAAACCCATTTTTGTAAATGGAAGTGTGCAAAAGTCTCCCTTTTGAGAATAACTAAAATAAAGCTGAAATTCTCCATCCATTGGCTTTTTTTAAATATATGGTAGAGAAGCAAATGTACACGGTATGATAACTCGCAATCTTAGTATCACCGTATATCCTAAAATCTGTACACTGCAGCAACCCTAAGTGTGATGGTGCTGACTGAAACTCCACATAAAGGATTGATTAGCCTTCTCGGTGCGCAATCCACTGTAGCACCAGTCTGTTGTAGCTTATAGATGCAAAATGTCTCCTGTTAGCCCACAACCCCATACAGAAAAATGTATAACTAATGTTTCTGTCTAAAGCAATCAAGAAAACATATTCAAGACCTTTTGTAAATTAAATTTAAGATTTTTTTAATACCTTCTAAGCCCTTTTTTTGAGGGAACATAATTTGTTGCTTATTAAGACTCCAACCAGTCCCACCCTAAAAATGATCCCTGCTCCATTAGGAAAGAAAGCTGCCCACTGTTACCCTACTGTTGGTTTTCAAATGTTCCCAAATCCTTACACATATTTTCTTCTTTTTCCACAGTGGATCAAACACTTTGAAAGCACTTCCCTATTATCTCAAGCAGAGGTCCACTTTGGCTGCAGTTCATCATGTGCCTCTGAGAACAGCAGAACTCTGAAGCCCAGGAGAACAGCTACACACACACACACACACACACACACAGTTAACTAAAGACTCACTCTAAGAGGAGGGACATGTTCGCCGGTTTGGGCTCGGTTCACCTGTGAAGGCTGGGCTGCCACATCACAATTGAATGTTGAGTCCTGACCAAATGTCTCTCTCCTCAGTCCTTTGCAGCAGAGGCCTCTCATCAGGCCTCAATTTCAAAGCCCAGGATAGAAAGCACATCCTCATTTTAAGAATGACAATCTGTTTTGTCTTTCATTTGTGTTTTTGTTATGTGTTGCATACTGTCCTATACAGATGGATGACCGCAAAATTGACATATGGTCTGACAGAATGATGTAATCCTTCAAAAAACAAATGAATGTTAAAAATGTGGCAAAACCATTGGGTCCTTAAAGCCAAGGTTTGCAAAAATGTAATCCCACAATATGTCCTTTAGGTATTCTTCTTCTATTGTATGTCAAAAATGTGAATTTACTTTCAATATGGCTATGTAATTTCTATTTTTGATACAATACAAATTTATATGTATTTGTTTATAGTGATAAGAAGACCAAAGATGGCTTCCTGCTCAATGTAATTTTATTGTATTGTAGCTATGTATGCTATGTTCACTGATAACCTTGGCATAAGTCACTAATTTGTTCAGCTATCACAGAGGTAAGCTTGTTTTGTCTATTTACTTTATGAATTCTATGTATGGTAAGATAATTAGCACCACAATGTTCAATGGTTAACCCACATACTCGTGATCTTTACAGATCAATTCTACAATAAATTACAAAATAGTTATTAGTCAGCACATTGTTGAGACTTTGCCATTTTCTTGGAAAACTTTATGTGATAAATTTGAACAGAAATTGAAAATCCCACAGCAGTATATAAGCCCTTGAAAATACATCAATACTCAATCAGCATCTGTCCCTCAAACCACAATCAACCAGTTTTTTAAACACACTGCTTGTAGATTGTGTGTAGAGTGCAAAAGTAAAAGTGATTGGCTGTTTCAAATATAAAATCAATGACTTGATCAAGCATAAAGGCCAGAAAACTGCACCAAACAATAAAAAGATAATGTAATAATTATCACCACACCCAGACCACAGTTCTTAAGCTGATGGCAGACAATAGATTGTCAATCTGTAAACATATCATTTATACATGATAGTGGTGTAAATCCTTTTTTCTTAACATGTGGTTATATTTCTAATCTTGTTCACACCAGTTATTTCATGATACAACACCAAAGTGAGCAGTGGTATTAGTGATGGTCTGTCAGACATGCCCTGGAACATCAGTGGTTCAGATGGGGCACCCGGTGTCCCGCAGGGCCTCCTTGGCTCCCTTCAGGGTCTCTCGCTTCACACACTTCCAGTACCCTGAGAAGCCATTCTGATGCTGCACCTGAGGGGCAGAACACAGTTTATCACATCTGACAGCACTGAGAATAGTCTATATATCTACTGATTAACAAACACAGCAGGATTTTTATCCATGCAAACTGTCTGTTATGCCAAAAGGAAAGTGACATAACTGTGGACTATTGATATGACATGAATGAAAAGTCGATTTTAGTCTGTGCAACCAAAGGGAGAAGAATTAGGGTATTTGAGAGCATGTTATGATCAATGCACAAACACCACAAAAGATCCATCTTAGAAATTAGTGTCTACAATTTTTAATGCCTCCGCTCCAGCGATAGCCATGGCCCCAGGCATTACGTTTTCAGGTTGTCTGTCTGTCTGTCCATCCATCCCATTCTTGTCAATATGATATCTCAAGAAGGCCTTGAGGAAATTTCTTAAAATTTGGCACAGCTGTCTACTTTGACTCACAGATAAACTGATCAGAAGATCAGAACTATTCATGACGAAAATTTAACACAAATGTCTAATACGATAAAATTGATATAGTGATGACATTTCATAGTCAAAAGGTCAAAGGTCAACTTCACTGTGACATCATAATGTTCTACAATGTTCTGGCCATTACTCAACATCATATCTCAGGAACAGAAGGAGAGACATATGGTCAGATACTGAATTGGTGACACTAATATGGGATGTCTCCCTTGAAACTGCTGCTGTGTAGATCCTCTGCTGTCGGGGAAGCTGTGTGTGTGTGTGAAACATCCATGTTTTCACAGACATGGGTGTGAACTGTTAAGGAAAATAGACTGGTGCACAGAGGCATTCAACCTCAAAGCAGTAATTGTATTTTTTCTCTAATTTGATCAACAGTTGATTTGATGACTTCACCTAAATGACACATTAGAGCAGGGATACTTGAGTTGCTTTGCCTGGGTGCCTCTTTTACAAAATGACAGGTGGCCAGGGACCAGTCACAAAAGCCCCACACAGGTAAGGTGTACACAGGACTGTTTCTAGGACTTTAAGACATTCAAGGCTTAGCCCAACCCTCTGTCGGGGGTCAGGGGGATCATCAAGCTCAATTGGGATGCTTTTTATGCACCCCGGCACCTTACTGACATTAGAAGTGCAAAAAAAAAAAATAAAAAACTTCCCATTTAAATCAACTTATTTTAATTGTGAAATAGAAAGTGGTTGCAGAGGAGGTATCCCACACCCTGCTAGTATAGAATCAATGCATTTGAGGAATAGTTCAGCATTTAGGGGAATATGGTTACTCACTTTCTGGCTGAGAGTTACAGATTCAACAAACAAAGATATGTTTTATTTAGTAAGCTGTAGAGATGGTGGTAGGCAGACAGAGCCAGGCAAGCTGTTTCCCTGTTACTAATCTATACTAAGCTAACCAACTGTTTCATATTCAGTGTACGGACATGAGTGGAAAGATCTGAATGTCTAAGGCTCGGGCCACATTGCATGTTTATTGTGAAAACCTTTTTTTTTTTTTTTCCCTCCCAATTTTTTCCCAGTGACACGTGCAGTTCTCAGCAAAAGTAGACAGTGAAAATGTTTTTTTGATGATCATATTGAGATTATACCAATTTTCACGCCTGTTTCAATGGCTAGATCTCTCACAGGCATGAGGAAATATAAATACTTAGGTTTTGCTCAACCTTTCCTATTGACCGTGTTGTTGACAATCCAGTCACTTGCACGGCTCCTTAAATAAGCGGAGTATCTGCAATTAATTGTGGAAACACAGTAGCTCTGCAGCAGCGCCGCAGATATAGTGCTCTGTGTGAACACCGCAAGTATGCAAGCCACAGCAGTTCAGCAAGGTAGCTGTCAGGCACTCCTCATGCAGGCATTGTGGCCCGGGCCTAATTCTCCGCAATAAAGCAAGTGAGCTAATTTTCCAGAATGTCAAACTATTCCTTTAAGATGGACACTTTAGCAGACATATTTACAGCTCTATCCCTGTCTCTCTCTATATCTATCTATATCTATCTATCTATCTATCTATCTATATATCTATATATATATATATATATATACATACATACATACAGTACAGGCCAAAAGTTTGGACACACCTTCTCATTCAATGCGTTTTCTTTATTTTCATGACTATTTACATTGTAGATTCTCACTGAAGGCATCAAAACTATGAATGAACACATGTGGAGTTATGTACTTAACAAAAAAAGGTGAAATAACTGAAAACATGTTTTATATTCTAGTTTCTTCAAAATAGCCACCCTTTGCTCTGATTACTGCTTTGCACACTCTTGGCATTCTCTCCATGAGCTTCAAGAGGTAGTCACCTGAAATGGTTTCCACTTCACAGGTGTGCCTTATCAGGGTTAATTAGTGGAATTTCTTGCTTTATCAATGGGGTTGGGACCATCAGTTGTGTTGGGCAGAAGTCAGGTTAATACACAGCCGACAGCCCTATTGGACAACTGTTAAAATTCATATTATGGCAAGAACCAATCAGCTAACTAAAGAAAAACAAGTGGCCATCATTACTTTAAGAAATGAAGGTCAGTCAGTCCAGAAAATTGCAAAAACTTTAAATGTGTCCCCAAGTGGAGTCGCAAAAACCATCAAGCGCTACAACGAAACTGGCACACATGAAGACCGACCCAGGAAAGGAAGACCAAGAGTCACCTCTGCTTCTGAGGATAAGTTCATCCGAGTCACCAGCCTCAGAAATGGCAAGTTAACAGCAGCTCAGATCAGAGACCAGATGAATGCCACACAGAGTTCTAGCAGCAGACCCATCTCTAGAACAACTGTTAAGAGGAGACTGCGCCAATCAGGCCTTCATGGTCAAATAGCTGCTAGGAAACCACTGCTAAGGAGAGGCAACAAGCAGAAGAGATTTGTTTGGGCCAAGAAACACAAGGAATGGACATTAGACCAGTGGAAATCTGTGCTTTGGTCTGATGAGTCCAAATTTGAGATCTTTGGTTCCAACCGCCGTGTCTTTGTGAGACGCAGAAAAGGTGAACGGATGGATTCCACATGCCTGGTTCCCACTGTGAAGCATGGAGGAGGAGGTGTGATGGTGCGGGGGTGTTTTGCTGGTGACACTGTTGGGGATTTATTCAAAATTGAAGGCACACTGAACCAGCATGGCTACCACAGCATCCTGCAGCGACATGCCATCCCATCCGGTTTGCGTTTAGTTGGACGATCATTTATTTTTCAACAGGACAATGACCCCAAACACACCTCCAGGCTGTGTAAGGGCTATTTGACCAAGAAGGAGAGTGATGGAGTGCTGCAGCAGATGACCTGGCCTCCACAGTCACCGGACCTGAACCCAATCCAGATGGTTTGGGGTGAGCTGGACCGCAGAGTGAAGGCAAAGGGGCCAACAAGTGCTAAACACCTCTGGGAACTCCTTCAAGACTGTTGGAAAACCATTTCAGGTGACTACCTCTTGAAGTTCATCGAGAGAATGCCAAGAGCAAAGCAGTAATCAGAGCAAAGGGTGGCTGTTTTTAAGAAACTAGAATATAAAACATGTTTTCAGTTATTTCACCTTTTTTTGTTAAGTACATAACTCCATATTAAGTCATGAAAATAAAGAAAACGCATTGAATGAGAAGGTGTGTCCAAACTTTTGGCCTGTACTGTATGTGTGTATATATATATATATATATATATATATATATATATATATACATGTATGTATGTGTGTGTGTGTGTGTGTGTGTGTGTGTGTGTGTGTGTATGTATAAAAGATGGACAGACTCACCTTAAGACCACGCAGTACTCGGTCTTTCATCACACCCATGAATTCCTTATGGCTCAGGCAGTTGTCTCCATCCATATCAAAGAGTTTAAATACAGTATCAAGCACATTCTCAGACAGATCATGGCCTGTGGCGATCCTCACAGCTCGTTTGAACTGGGCTGCAATGAGAGAGAGGAAAAACATGGGTGATCTATTGAATATAGTATTTGGAGAAAACCATCCATATTGTCATCAACAGAAAGGTGTTACCCATTCCAACGGGACGGTTGGCTTCAGTGACCAGTTTCATTGAAAAGGCAAAGTCCTCCAGATTGTTGGTGAAGAGACAGAAGGCTTTGAACTCATCAAATGTGATACTCTGCAAGACAACATTTCAGTTCACTTTAAAGCTACACTCAATGATGTTTTCACAGCATTGCTGTAAGGTAAACTCCTTAAACCTGGCCAGCAGGGATCCTCTTTCTCATGTTCTCCCAGTAGATTTCATTGTCTTCTTCGTTGGTGTAGTGTAAGAGCCACTCTGCAAAGTCTTCTCTTCGCATGGTGTCCATACCTCTGGAGAACTGCAGGAACTCCATCTCCTGGACTTCAGCCTGCAGGTCCTCCATGAACCTGAAGAACAGGAAGTGTTTACTGCAAATCTGATGCCTTACAAACCACGAATCCTGCCGTGGTGTGTGAGATAAAACAATAAGGTTATTTATACAGCGCATTTCAGCAAAGAGCGCTCAGCGTAAAAAAGCAAAAGCATCAAGACTAAGTGCAAAAGAAACACAGAATAATAGGGGATACCACCTGGCAACTTAAGAGCGGCCTAACAAAGACATCTGAAAATAAATCCATTCTTTATGATGAAATCCTTTTTTTTCTATAAATTTAGATCATGTAGTCTAATGTCTGACCTCACAGTCAATTCTTCATTCATATAAAAAAATGATTGAGTGTTCTTTACTTCATCACTTTTCTGTTTCTGTTCTGTATGGACTACAGATTTTGTTTTTGTTTAAGACACCCAACCATTTTCACTACTGTAACACACACTCAGTAACATTACAGCATCTTGACAATAAACAAAATAAATTGCATTTTTTCAGTACGGCCATACATTCAATGTGTATTACAGTGACGGTGACGTCATTAGCACCTGTGTTGTGATGCTGCTCACAAAGGTGATGTTGTTAAAATAAGGAGAGTTGTGTTGCAGACAAATCATTATCATTAAGTGATCGCATGGTTAGTAATAAGCATTGTAAGTTGTGTTGATATGAGGTGTCTGTAGTCTGAGGACTAAACCTAATTTCTGCACCTAGTATGTAAAGATAATTAAGAGAATTAAGAATTAAGAATTAAGATTCTTGTGAAAAGTGAACCCAAAGGAATTGTAAATTATTGTAATACAAAAGTTTATTCAGTGGCAGTGATGACAGCAACTGACAGAACTTTACCCAAGAAAAAAAAGAGCAGGGTTTGGTGCTGAAAATATTTACAAAGGTTTAATACAAGACTTCTGTTGATTTCATCACCAGATACAATTTTCTCCTCATATTTATGTGGGATTAAATTAGCCTAAGTAGCTGTAATACTTTTATATACAATATGTACATTAAGTTCACTATTTTAAAAATAAACATAATATCAGCAAGTTATGCAGAATTCAGGGGACAGAGCTGACCTCCACACCTAAAATGTAGACTTAAACCCCTTTTCCACCAAAACTAGCATTTGAACAAAAGTTTTTTAAACACAGGATAACCCATTAAAAATGAGCTATAGACTTATTTCCCATAGCTATGAGACAAGAGTCATGTAAACACTTTTCTGTTTTGTGTTGTTTTTTCACTGGTTTGTCACATTTGATGTCATGGGCAGACCAGAAAATAGGTTAGTAAAAAGTAGAAAGCAGCATGGAGGCCAGAGGAAAAAGTTAAGGTGGTTACTTCTGTTAAATATCACTTACTTACTTAGTCTCTCTTTCAAACTTGGTGTGAATTGGAATTATGTTCAAGTGCTGCTTGGATGGGGACAGACGGTATTTTGTGACAGCCTGTCATTGCATCTAACTGTTAAAATTAGCGTGCTCACCCAAGTGTTGCATTTCCATCACTGCTGGGCCAGAGCTGATAAATAACCCTGACCACTGCAGAATCATTTTACCCTGGTGTGAATGCCAATTGTGAACCTTTGCCATTACAGACAAAAGCCAGATGTTAGCAGGTGTTAGTGGGGTTTTTTGTGCAGTGGGAAAGGGGCTTTACACACTGTGATGTAATGATCACTGTCAGCAGCAGGGGAGTGTGTGACTACAGAGGACAATTCCTTACCTGCGGAACTCCTGATACTGCAACTTGTTTTCTCCTCTTTTCCCAAAGAAGTAGGCCTGCAGAGTTGTGTTCACACTTTCCCCTTCTTCCACTGGTTTCTGTAAACATTCACCAAGTGTACAATACTGTCGTAAATTATCACTACTAAAAGTAAACGCACAGACATTACACTAAGCTCTCCTTTTAAAGGACTGTGAATACCCACCTCTGTGCTGTCTATGGGAACTCTGGTTTTACTTTTTCCAATGATTTTCTTCAGCTTCAGAAGAAAAAGAAATTCCAAAAAATGTTAACATTTAACCAGAGAAATTCAGAATGATCTTCTGCAATTGCCTTTACTGACTGTCAACATGTGAACATCCCTCTCCTCTGAACTACAACAAGAAATGAACAAAAAGGGGAAAATGTTTCTTTTCAAACCAGAGCTATAACCCTCAGCTAAGTCACACACACAACAGACACTGGAGCAGATGACAATCCACACAGCTCTTCTCTCTTATTAAATGCTTTAGTGTTGTGCAACAAGTCACGACATGAAAAGACAACACAAGGTGCACAGCGTGCCAACATGCAGTCTACGAGCCTGGGCCTGATCTAGACTAAACACACAAAAGTCTTCTCTCATCATCACAGAGGACAAGTCTGCTAGGTACAGGAAATGTCAAATGATTTAAAATGATCGACTAAAGTGAGGGGCTGACTCAGGGTGCAGAGATGCAAACACATGACAGATGAACTGACTAGTAGAGGAGCTAACAATGCAGCTCTCCCTCACCTTCACATGGTGCCATGGTCCATACTTACAACTGTGGCAGCATCAGTACTCGAGGCAGCATTAAAGGTGGCAATATTTTTAAATTTAAATGCACAAACAACAGAAATACAATTCTCTGTGCAATGTGTCCTCTTATGATTACAGTACTTACATATGAAACTATCTGTTATGTTCGTTATTGCTACAACAATATTCAAGTATCAAAAAATCCTGATATATTTATCAGATCTTACCTTCAAAAATTCCCTTTGGTCCACATGCTCATTTCCGTCAACATCAAGCATTTTGAAAGCTATATGAAATCCTGTACGCGGCTCTGCAACAGTAATGCACTGTCAGTTATCTGAACTCTATCTGAATACTACAGAAAACCTCACATGACTCAATGCTCTAGGTTAGTAGGGCAAAGTAGCATTTCTCAATACAGCCTGGAAAACAGTGTGTAAAAATAAAACATAAATCAGGTCAACAGCAGCTCCGCTAAAATGTGCAGGTGTGCGAAGCTTGGACAGAAGTGACTATGTAAAAAGCAGGATTTTTACAGAAGAGAATAAAATGCAAAGTCACAAGATAACAGGCAAATTCATTCAGCACAACATCACTAAGAGTGAGGAAAGATCTTGTCAGGCCCACTGGGTCATGCAGGTTAGTTAATCTACTCACTGGTCAGGATAGTCAGCAGGAACAGATACTCTGTGTAGGATATCAAACCTACAAAATAAATATAAATGTACGATTATAAAATGTATGATTTTATTTAGGAAACAGGATTACCAAACAAATACACTGACTGACTTTGAAAACAAATATAATGCAAAGATAGGCGGTTTGATCCCCAGCTCCTCCAGTCTGCATATCTTGCCTTGGGCAAGATACTGAACCCCAAATTGCTCCTGATGATGCTTCCATCAGTGTGTGTGAGTGTGTTAAGAATGTGTGTGTGAAAGTGACGTGTAATGTAAAAAGCACTTTGAGTGGTCCGATGACTAGAAAGGAGCTATACAGATTCAAATCCATTCAGCATTTACCGCAGTTACAAGGTGACCCAAGATTAGTGTCACCAATTCAGTATCTGACCAAATGTCTCCCCTTCTGTTCCTGAGTTATGACGCTGAGTGATAGATAGAAAAGTCTTTTATGCAGAATATTATGATGTCACAGTGAAGTTGACCTTTGACTTTTTGGATATAAAGCATCATCACTTAATTATTTTATCCTATAAGAATTTTTGTCATAATTGGTGTGTAAAGTCTTGAGTTATGGCCAAAAATATGTTTTATGAGTTCACAGTGACCTTGAGATTAGTCCACCAAATACTAATCAGTTCATCCTTGAGCAGACGTTTGTGCCAGATTTGAGGAAAAGTCTCTCAAGGCCTTCTTGAGATATTGCGTTCATAAGAACAAGATGGATGCAAGGTTACAGTGACCTTGACCTTTGACTGCCAAAATCTGATCAGTTCATTTATGAGTCCAAGTGGACGTTTGTACCAAAGTTGAAGAAATTCCCTCAAGGTGTTTTTGAGATATCTCGTTCCCAAGAATGGGAAGTCGGATGGATGGATGGCTGTATGCAGCCATCCATCCATCCGTCCCGTTCTCATGAACATTATGGACAGACGGAGGGCCTGACAACCTGAAAACCCATAAACATAATACCTCTGGCCACAGCTGTTGTTAGGCAGAGGCGTAAAAAATAAAAAAAAACAACGGGAAAGAGGATCCATCCAAGAGACGGTCACTCAAAAATCAGTGGAGACACATTTTGATAACAAGTGTGAACTGGAGTCAGTAACAACTGAATCTAGACACACATTAAGCAGATCAGCATATCAGATTAGCTATGCACAATATTGTTTTTCTGTCAATATCCAATATGCCAATATATAACAACTTATTTGACCAATAACTTATTACTGTTGATGACATATCCACTTTTTTCCCCACCTAATTTTAGTGATCATCAAATCTAATCATCAAGATAAAAAATCAAAAATTTTGCTTGGGTTCGGCCCTCTTGACATGCTGCTGTGTTGTGCTATGGCCTATTCAAGTGCTGGAATTTGTAATTTACGTGACAACGCCTGAACGCAACACAGGCTCCGCTCCAATTGAGTGTGTTTACAGTGCTGTGCTGCTGTGCAGCGTGTTTGACTGTGCGTTACAGCAGCCTTTTAATGGTCATTTATACACTGCCCATGACAATAACTATGTCAGGTAACAAACTGCGTCAGCCTCGGGCCGGGTTCGGACTTAAAAATCAGAACGTCTGTCGGGTTCAGGCCAGGCTTGGCTATAATTGTCTCGGACTCGGGTCAGATTCAGTCAGGAAAATGCAGCCCGAGCCGTGCTCTAATGTGCTCACCTGTGTGCGCATCCAGATGTCTGTGTGTGCGCAACACAGAGAGCAGAGGAGAATTGTAACCATGCGACCACGTAGAGACAGAAATTACATGCCATCATGTAAATAAGATAAATAACACAAGGCTATTTAGTTTGTTTAATAAAAGGACAAGATATAGACCTGTTCTATAAGAAAGGTAACCTTAAATGACTTCTGTTGTGATCTGGCGGTATATAGAAAATAAAATTAATTAAAATTAACTTGACCATCAAGGGAGGGGGGCACCCCCGCCCCCCTAATATAATGGTAGGGGAAACATTGCCTATATTGGATCTAAAATTCCTGTGTGTTAATGCTGCTCTGTTAACAGAATGAAGACTTACCATTGTCCCCAATGCTTCTGAAGAGTTCATTTCCAGGCTTAGCTTTCGAGGCAGCCACCAACATTTTGTTAACTTCCTGCAAAGACAGCAATAAGAAACAGCTAACACCACAAACTGATCACTATGTTCTAAATGTGCAGTTTGAAACTAACTTATTTACACAATGTGATAATGTAAGCATACTTGGGTTGTTAAAATTCTCTTCTGCAGCTTTCCTGCATAAGAAGAAAGAGAAAAGATTTGTTAATAAGACAACAAAAAATGTAATACATAAAAGCAGAAGGCCAGCATTACATGGGATTTTTCTCATGCATCTTGGCTATGTACATTTGAATGTCTGCAGGGTTGGTTGCAGGGTTTTCATCACTTGCATTCACTGAAAAGCTGCATTTTTTTGCAAGTACAGAGGGTTCATGCACAGTCTTTGCAACTGTTACTTCCTATGATCTGCAAATAATGTAAATAGCAATACACAACCTACAGCTTGTGACACAGACTGTGGGAAAACATTCATGATGTTTTTTAGGGCCAACAGTATGAATTATTCTTGCCATATTTTCAGAAATGTTTTCTATATACAAAGTTCTTACATGTATCTTAAGGTCTAATGTTCCAATGTGGCCCAGGCCTTGAGCTACAACTACACACACATTCTCCCTTTTTCTTTTACAGTTCCAGTCGATTCAGTACATTTAAAATAAACCCTATAATGACAAATGTTTCTCCGACATTTCTTTTATGTCTTTTTTTGTTGCTGTCACAGTACCACTTATCTATGGTGCATTGTGAATAAAGTGGATGTATAGCTGCAACACTCCCACTGTTAATATTAGTTTGACTTTGTCACTATGGAGCCTCTTTTATACTTGAAAAGACAGATGCAGTTCCCCTGTTGTCTTACTATTATTACGTTCTGCTTTGGTCTCTCATAGTCCTCTGGCCCTGTATATGTGGAACAGGTGGAAATGAAAGGAAAGAACAACTAATAGTGTCTGAGTAAAGTGAGCAAGGAGCAAGGAGCCTTGTGAATAGCTTCAATGCTCCTGAACATAGAAAGTAAAAGTCTCTGCAACTGTACTGGAGGGATGAACAAACTTCTTCAACTAGACTAGTCTAAGAATGTCAACTGTCAGTAGATGGAAAGCATAAACTAAGTGGACATCAGTGCAGCTTACGGTCAACATTCTCCAGCATCACAGAGAACAGGAAGTCTCTTGGGGTCATATAGGGCTCCTGCTCGTAGACCACTGAGGCAAACTGGTTGAAACGAATCTTTCTGGCAGACAGCTGGGGAGCTGCAGCTTCCTGAAACAGCATAAGTGACAGAGCTAAGGGACTGTTTGTTTCTTTTGAGGGGGGAGGGAGTGGTGAAAAAGGGGGGAGGCATTTCAAATATTTTTTAAGCACTGGGGAGGGACTTGTGTTTTTTCTTTTGGTTTAGGGGAGGGGCATACACATTTTACAGTCAATTTTCAAAGAAAACTTTTTCTTTAAAAATCACCAAAACTACACTCTTTATCATAGCCAAAAACTGTAAAAATTGAAATTATCTTTTAATTTCAAAATTTCTGACGGTCCTTTACCACATCATGTAAGCCAAATGCTTCTGTCAGTAAAACAAACATAATCAAATCTGATCTTTTTTAAAAAAAAAAAAAAAAAATCAAAATCACTTTATTCTACATGTTTCATTTAAATTGCACGAAAAAAAAACTGCTTACACAAGCTTACCAGTATGATCAACAAAAGTGAAAACAAAGGGTGTTTCCAGGAATTTATCTTCAACTTTTAAATTTCAACTGTCAAAGGTTAAGTTTTAAAAATCTTAAAATGAGAAAATCATGGTAGGGGGAGGGTCATACATGTTTCGCCAGTCACTCAGGGAGGCTCATGGAAAAATATCTGTAGCTTTGGGGAGGGTAAAAAAAAAAAACCCAAAAAAAAAACAAACTCACACCCCAGTCAACTCCCTCGTCTGACAAGTAGAGAGCAGTCCCTAAATACCACTGTAAACTATGGAACCATGTGAGTAACGCTACTCACTGTTGACCGTTTAAATAGCAAACAGCATGTCACTGTATATGATGTGTCGGTGAGTGACGGTTAACCTAAGTTGTTGATACAGACTCTTGGCTGACTAGTTACGTTCTTTCTGTAAACAGGAATGTGTGTATCGTTGATACTTGTGTTTAGCAGCATATTACTCTTACACAGACAGACGGGTAACATACAGTGGCCACATGTCTGTTTGCGGACAGTGTGGACGACAGAAACTTTTATTATTTTTAAATAATAAAAGGCGTTATTAGGCGTGTACTCACTTTAGGTTCTTCGGCATGAACGGCAAAGGGAAGAGACCTGTTGTTAGCATGATGCTGGTAACAGATAACCCCAGTTCCAATGACACAACCCAAAATACCGGGTCCAACAGCACGGCTCAATGCCAAACTTTTCAGTGACCGAGGATTCCTCAAAACATTCCTTAAGACGGCGGCGACCCTTCCCAAGCTGGACATTTTAAGGAGGCTAGCTCGCTAGCTGGATATATCAACTCCAAGGCTTCCGTAGTTGCGTACTAAAGCGAGAAAGTAGGCTTGTTCGATATGTACTCCGCCTCGCCTGAAAAGAAGTGGAGAGCAGGCGGCTGCAGCAGGGGGCGGTGCCAAAAAGCTGCGGTGACGTCGGACAGTTTGACGACCGTTTCCAGCTGCAGCCCTCAGTCCATACGGGTGACAAGTGACAGAAACACAGATCTTGACCGATATGATGTCGATTTGTTAAAAATGTTATCAGACCCATATATCAGTTTGTTGTCAGTCTCCAGTTTTGTTAATTATGATAGATTGAGTTATTAGGCTCGTTCGAGATGAGCAGGCCTGCGCACAATTTGGTTCATAGGCGTTTCTCAATACTCAAGTTCAGCAGTTGGGACTTGGCAAGTTCGGACTTGGCAAGTCCGCGCGAGAGTCCGGACTTCCCAAGAACGGGAGGCTGGGAGTACACTCATTTCTGCTTTTGGAACAGCAGCGAACTTGATGATGTCACCACCTCCGCTCGCCTTGGCTGTTGTACTGTGTTGTATACATGCATTTAGAATAAAACAATATAAATACAGCCCAGCCCTGCGTCTTTTCATAGACATTGTAAGAAATTAATGTGTATATGTTTTTAACGTTTCAACATATATAACTGACACACCAAAACATATAAATAGCCAAAATAGTTTCGTAAAATATCTTACAAAACCTTTTCCTCGCAGTTTGATCATATTTAATCTATAGCCTATCCAATTCCCCGCGGGGGGAAAGTTTGTGGAGAGTTGGTGGTTATTGTGATCGTGAGCATTGGTGAGATGGAAATCAAAAATCAATAACGGACATGGATCGCAGCAGGATTTCTGTACCTGCAGGCTGAGGAGGAAGCTGCCCAGCTGAGGAGGCAGATCCGAGAAAGACAGGGGAGAATGAGGATGAGACGTGATGAGACGAATGAAATGAATGAATGAAAAGTTAAAAGTACTCATTATGCAGAGTGACCCAATTTCAAGTGTTGTTATCAAAATATACATTCTTAGTTACTGTCCATCACTGCATTTGTCTCATCATTACGCCTTCTGTCTACATTTTTATGGAGACTTGACAGTTTACTTGGTAGTTACATCTAGAAAAAACAACAGCAGTTTAATAGTGTAGCCTATTAAGTCTAACATTTTATTGAAGTGTTGAGTTGTAGATTGTGGTGCTGTGGGACTGTACTGGATTATACTGACAGCAGTTTCTCATTTAGTCTGTCATCACCAATATAAATGGGATCAAACCGGTCAGATATTAAGAGGAAAATTTTATTCAGTCACACTTCAGACATCACGTATACAATTCATATCAGATAGGCCTAATCAATATTTAAAATCTGTTGAATAAATACTACAATAAATACAATTCATCTTTAAATACAATAAATTAATTACAATAAATTCTTAAATTAAAATCATTATTGAATGGTAAAACACATAAATAAGCAAAAGAATACAAAGAACAATTACATTAACAATGTTACAACATTTAATAATGTAATAATATATCTTATATACTGAGACTGAATATTGCCCATTAGACATTCCTCAAACGAATTACATTTCATATAGGCTAGGCTATAACCACTACAGCGATATCAGTGACGAATTTAAAAGGACTACCCGAGAGAGTCTGCTCTCGGTGGGGTAGCCTGAGCGCTCATACACATATGTTTATTATCTATGAGGGCTGACACCGCTGTCATCTAGCGGACCTCACATTCAAGTGTGCTCTGTATTAATACATCGACCACGGGTTTTAAGTTTAAACTACGCATGAAAACACTACGTTCCGTGACAACACAACAGTAACATATCGGTAATTATGGCTTACAATTGTGCGCCTTTCCCTCACTTGCCATTTCTGAAGATTGTTGCGAAATGCATGCTGGGATACCTGGCTGTCTGAAGCAAAGAGCATGGATACCAAGAGGGGAAGCTCAATAGAACACCCATAGCAACTAGTCTGGGGCCGTTAGTGGCCGTTTTGGTAAGGAAACGGAACCAGGGCGAGTGAGACAGGATCCGGAATTCGATGGATGTGCCTTTCCGTAAAAATAAAAGCACCAAGCTAATAAAAATGCGGTGAAATTTTTAATTTAAAGAATATAATTTACAAGAAAAGCCCCAAGCCATTAAGTTAATCGATTTTCTTACACCCCTCATCACCCCAAATCGATGGTGCGCCAGAATTTAAAGTTTTACTATGGTGAACACTTTTAGTTTGGTGAATTTGGTGAATACCGNTTTTTTTTCCAAAGATTTATTGAAAAACACAGTAAAGTATACAATAACAGTATACAAGCAGTGAACAAGAACAGAGTAGCCAGGGGATATGTCCATATGTCCTTACATTACACAAAAACATCTAGAGCAGAGCATATGTTTAAGGTCTTGACAGCTTTTTTGTTGTCAGAGCTAACAATAAGCTGTATGTATTGTTCGACATCTTTGAGAAAATGAATAAAATTAGGTTTTTTGCTGCTGTATTTACATTTGTAAATAAAAAATTTAGCCAAAATTATTAACAAGTTTATAAGAAAAAAAACCTTTTCCTCTTTCTTAGAGCACTTGTAAAAACAGAAAACAAAATTTTCCCAAGATAAGGTAAAGTCTTTGGAGACATAGTCTATAATGAATCTGCTGAAATCTTTCCAAAGTTTTTTTGTATGAGGGCAATGCCAAAATAGGTGCAACAAAGTCTCTGGGTGGTCCTCACAGAAAGAACAGTCTGCATTTATGTCCCTTTTGAATTTTGCCATGTAATGGTTTGCAGGATAGTATTTATGAATAATTCTGAAGGAAACATCCTTCACCTTATTGGTGATGAGATAATTGTGTGGAATCATCCAAACCTTGTTCCAATCAATATCATTCACAAAACGATTCCAATATGAGATAACATGCGGAACAGAGACAACATCTTTCTGGAATAAAGCACGTATATGTCTATTGTTATTACGAGAAAGGGTCGAAAAACAGATTTTTCCTATATGAGAATCAATTGGATTAGGTACGGAGACTGAGGGGAGAGGGCTAGGAAGATTTCTAAAAAGTATTAGAGTGCCTGAGGGGATAGCGTCAAACACTATAGCAAATTCCTTAGGAGTAACAGGAAAATCATATTTAGATAAAAAATTCTCTATAGGAAAGCAAAAGTCCCTCTTCATTAAACAGCTGACTTACCAGAAGAATTTTGTTCTGAACCCATCTTTCCATAAAAAGTGATTTATTCTTGAAAAGAATGTCTCTGTTATTCCATATTAAGTACCTGTGAGGTGAGAAGTTATGTTTGTAAATTAGGGACCAGGATAGGAGAACTTGCCTATGAAAAGCTGACAATTTTACAGGGAGTTTGTCTACATTATAATTACAACTGAAAATAAAGTTTAAACCACCAAAGCGAGAGAAGATGTACTGAGGAATGAAATTCCAGATTGAGGCGGGATTTTTAAGAAAGTGTCGAGCCCAGTTTATTTTAAATGTATTATTAAGAGTAGCAAAATCTAGGAAGTTGAGCCCCCCATGTTCATAATCATTCATAACAACTCCCTTCTTAATATAATGTGTACGATTTTTCCAGACAAAATCAAAGAGTAAACGGTCAATATTTTTGGTGGTTTTATTATCCACATGTATGGAGAGAGCTGCATAGGTGAGCCGTGAAATGCCTTCAGCTTTAGTAAGAAGGACTCTGCCTTTAAGGGACAGGTCCCTCTGCAACCACTGATTTAATTTAACGTTTGTTTTTTGAATGATTGGGTCAAAGTTCAGATTACATCTCAGGTTCTGGTCTTTAGAAATCAAGAGCCCTAAATAGGTGACTTCTTCTTTGACAGGAATATTACAAATGGAGTTTGCGTTACTGTTTTTAATAGCTAATAGCTCACATTTATGCAAATTAAGGCATAGGCCAGAGGCCTTAGAAAAATCAGTAATTACATGGAGAGCAACAGGGACTTGATTAGCATTTTTTAAGAAGAGAGTAGTGTCATCCGCCAGTTGGCTAATGATAACATTTTTATCAGCTATGGAGATTCCTTGCACAGCACTGTTAGTAATATGGTTTGTAAGAATTTGAGTACAGAGTAAGAAGAGGTAAGGGGAGATGGGGCAACCCTGGCGGATGCCTCGTTTCAAGTTAAATCTTGGGGTCGTACCATTTTTCATTTTGATTGAGCTATTGCCATTGGCATACAAAGTCTTAATAGCCGTGCAGAAAAATTTGCCAAAGCCTAACTTCTTTAGGCAGTGAAAGATGAATTGGTGTTCAAGCGTGTCGAAGGCCTTATAGAAATCGAGGAAGAGGATAAGACTTTCATCAAAAATCAACTCAGAATAGTCAAGGGTGTCTAGGACAAGTCTAATATTGTTAGATATGTGTCTATTTCTCATAAAGCCCGACTGAGTCTCATCTATTATTGTGTCTAAGACCTCTTTAATTCTTTTGGCAAGAATAAGGGCAATAATTTTGTAGTCATTGTTGAGTAAACAAATGGGTCTCCAATTATCGAGAAACAGCACATCTTTTTTAGATTTTGGAATTAAAGTTATAAGACCTTGTGTGAGACTAGGAGGAAGGGCATTTTTTCCTATATTTTCTAAAAAAAACCTGTAGAAGAAAGGGGGCTAAATGTGTTGAAAAGGATTTATAAAATTCTGTGGTTAATCCATCAGTGCCTGGCGATTTATTATTCTTAAGAGCAGCAATGGCATCAGAGACTTCTTTTAGAGTAAAAGGGGTGTCACAAAAGCTCTTATCCACAGTATCAAGCATTCGTAAGTCTTTAACTGAGTCTAAAAATAAAGAGGCATGCTCTTGGTTGTACTTAGAGCTGTATAAGTTGCTATAAAAATTACAGCAATAGTTTGAAATTAGTTTAGCATTATCAGTTATGGTGCCATTTATATTCAATTGATGGATGGAGTTGGTTTTAGCGCGCAGTTTTTCAAGCCCAAAAAAATACGCTGAATTTTGTTCCCCTTCTTCTAGCTACCTCTTTCTGGATCTAACAAATGCACCTTCCGCCTTGCGATGATAAATGTCATCTAATTTCTTTTGA